GGGGCAAATCTACAACTAAAGGACACGGGGAGCACTAAAGGGAGGGAAGGGCAGGCCTTTAACCCGCATTTGGGTGAGGCAAAGACATAAAGAGTAACCATAATGTTTGTACCCTCACAATACCCTGGGGGGGAAAAAAAAAAGTTCAAATATGAGCTAGTATAGGGAAATCAACAGGGATATTGTTAAAGGTGTGTGAATTTTAAAAAGAAAAAGGAATAAAATCTATTCCAAAAATGTTAATTCACTAGGCTTGCAAGTCAAAACATGCTAACAGATCCGCAGCATCAGTGTCGACTGGGGGTCTTAGCAATGCAGAAACTCAAGCCCGAACCAAACCCATCAAACGAGAGCTGCACTTCTCCAGCCTCCCACTCACTTTGTACGACACTGAAGTCTCAGAAGCACTGTTCCAAACCATCTTACCAAATAATCACATTACCCAATACATAAAATACAAGTTGTGCTGCAGAGCTTTCCCTAAGCAAGGCTGAAAATGTTGATAAATACACAGGACAACACATAAAATGATCCAGTCAGTACTAAAGGAACGTCTCATACAACAGGCTATAAATGGTGAAAGACTAGCAATTCTCACCTAAGAATTAGGGCAAAAAGAAAAACATGCTACAAAAAACTTCTCAAACTTTGCTACATGAAATCACAATTTTTTTAAAATGTGTAAATTCCATATATCTTGATAATCATATGGAACAATGCATATCAATAGCCCCTTGAAAATAAACCCATCATGAGACTGCTTTAAAAATAGTTTCTAACTGCTGATTACAATATCATGATTTTATTTGGTATTAATCAATGTACCACACAAAATAGTCCCAGTGTGTAACAATCAAAAGAAGATACAACTAGAATCCCAGTTATCAATGGTCGTCAAGCAAGAGGTAAAGCTGTGCATGGTTTCCACTCCAAGACCACATACTCTGCTTCTCTGGATTCTATACATGCCAAATAACACGAGCCGATCCTCCTGCCCCACACTCCAAGGGTCTAAAAAATACATATTTATTAATAAAAAGGTATAGCCTACATATTGTTTCTGCACTTCACAAAGCCATAACAGAGCAAGAAATAAAGGAAAATAAAGCATGTGGTAAACTTGACATCAGAGAAACTGGAACTATATCCTAGATTATGCCATTTAGTAGCTATGACCCCAAGTATATCCTCTAATCTTTCTGAACTCCAATTTTCTGATCTGTGAAATGGGAAAATTGTCTATTTCATACAGTTGAAGTGTGATAAAGAATGTGATAGCATTTTTAACAGTGTAAAGCTCTAGTTAGAAATCAGACTTGTGTTTCAGTGGTTTTATTGAGATGGGGGGACAGAAACTGGTCTGTCGAATAAAATATATGACACCCAGAAAAATTTGTATTTCAGATAAACCCCGAATAACATTTTAGCATAAGTATGTCCCAACATTTACAAGACATATTTACACTAAAAGATTATCCATTGTTTATCTGAAATTCAAATTAAACTGGGAATCCCTCCTCCCCACCTCTTTTTTTTTTTTGCTGAAT